CTAATACTATCACGGGCTGTGTGTCCAAAGGCAGTTGCACCCCACAAGTTTTAGATGAGACGTATAATGTGATTTGTCTTTAAACCACATACCCTCTGGAGGCACTGGAAAATAAAAGGAGGGCATTAAAGGAAAAAAATTTATCTACATATAAACAGTTACTTATATATAAATATAAATGTACATATAGTTGTTTGTGAAGCTAGTAATGTGATCACATCCTTTTTCTATTTCTAAGAAGGCTCATGGAAACTGAAACAAATTGGGAGTATTTTTGCATTGCACATTTGGCTCAAATCTGCCACTTAGTGGAAGTATAATCTTTAGCAAGTGACTTAAAATTTCTGAATATCATGTTCATCATCAATGAGACAATAATAACATTTTAAAGTACATTTAAAGTCATAGTAGTAATGTCTGCTGAAGTACTTTGCCATCGTAAAATTCAAGGTAGAGTTAGCTGTGACCCTTTAGGAGTAATTCTAACTCCCACATCTATCTCTGAGGTGGAGCATGTTTCTTAGATTGAAGACCTTGGGGGAGTCATGGTATTCTTAAGAGGACTGTGGGAGGAGATTTTAGGGAGACGACTGAAAAGTATTCCTTCTTTCTTCCTCTCCAGGAAGATTGGAAAGTATTTATTTGATTCATTTGCCAATTTTTTTCTTTTTCTACTAAACATGTCAATTCCTAAATATTTTCAGTAAGTTTGGGATTATTAGACAAAAGCTTATATGAATGTGAAGGTATATGCTTCTTCAAAAGTTCGGGGGAGTACGTTGACACTCTGGTGTTTGCATCAAATTACATTATCTTGAATGAAATATTCTTGGAAAATTTTCTCTTAAAATTCTTAAATTTCTGCCTGCCAGGCAACAGCAAGTAATTATTTTTCAAATACCTAGATGTCATTTTGAAGTATCTCTATTTTGACCTATTATGTTCAGTGAGAAAATAGCTCTGCTTCATATGCTAGCTTTCAGGGTCTGAGACTTGATGCTTCTGTTTCCATGTGATTATTTGCAGAATAGAATTTACAAAGGGAGAAATAATGAGCCAGTGGGAAAATCAGACGTTTATTAGTGTGTGTTTTCATTTTTTGAGGGGGAAGGGATTCGGTAGATATGGTTTTCCCAGAATATCAATGACACCCATATTTCAAAATAGCCTGTTACACCAAGTACAGATAGTCTATTTTGTTTGTCTACCATATTGTTCCTTTTTATTTGGTTGATGAGCATAAATGGACAGATTTGGAAAAGATGGCTTAAATCATTCATTTGGGGTGGCTCTCATTTGCATATTATAACCATCACAAAAAATGGGCTTTCAGCCAAATCACATTTTGTTTGGAAAGCAAGGTGTTTTTTTTTACTGAAATTGTATCTGAATGCCTTGAAGTGGAGTATATACTCCCTGTCTTATACCCAGCTGTCTTATGAAATTGTACTATCTGCCTGGATGTTTAGCCTGAAAAACCAACAGGATTTCATCATCAGTCTCTGTTACTAACTTTGATGCATTTCAGCAGGTAAAAGTTCTAAATAATTGATAATAAAATCTTTCCAGAAAATTTCTTCTTTAGGCTAGATGTAGTTCAGCTTGTTAGACTGAACTTTGGGAATCAGCAATAGAGAGAAAGACTACAAAATGGATCCTTTTAAAACTGTAGCATCTAACATTTTCACCTGGTATTGCATTGGAGTATCTGAAAGATGTGAATGTGGTACAGTGGATGCAGCAGAAAATGAAGAAGGGAATAGCAGAAATATGTTTACTATTTCTTCCTTTTTCCCTTAAACTAATAGAGTTTTCAAATGAGTCAAATACATATTTTAATTGATAAACTGACTTTATATTCACCTATTGGAAACAGTACAACATATTTTTACATCAGATTATGAAATACGGATGTTTTACTAAAAGACAGGAAGAGCTTGTTCCAGTCTTTAAAGTAAATACATATTCAAAGGATCTTAAGGCATACCATTTATTCATATTCATATCTATTGAAATACTGTACATCCACATACTTCAATAAATAGTTAAAAACCTGACCTCTTTTTAAATCATTTCTGAGTTTCAAAAAACAATTTTTATTGAAAAGATTAAATAGATAACTTTTGGCTGTGTCACAAAGCTAAGCACAATGGATAAATTAACAATTATTCAGTAAATTTGATCAATATAGATAATTGGCTTTGATAAATTTCTCAGTTTTCTGAGTTCACACACTGGGGTATTTATATATATATATATATAT